AGTACTCAGAGAAGATACGAATTTCTACACTACAAGTTTGTAACTTAAACTTTAGATAGAGAAAAGACATTTGATTTTGAAATGTGCTCCAGGCTCCATCAACAGAAAGCAATACAGAAGCACCTCTGTACACAGGAAATAATAAGCCGAGAAACAAACACAAGATGCAGGAAATATGGGTTCAACTTTCTGTAGGAGGTCTGAAGAACATCAGTAAAGAACATCAGGCTCAGTCCAATGTGCCAGGATGGCTGGAATCTTCAGGAAAGAGATAATGAGGGAGTGTTTAGTTGATCAATTGTGAAAAACATAACATAAGTTTTAAATTTTCTATTAGACATGTCTAGAAATTATACCTGTCATAAATTCTTATGTAAATCCTAAGCAAATACAAAAAATTAGCTTATTAATAATCCACAGAAAACAACCGTAGTGCCAAAAGACAAATTAAATCATAATACCAAAATATTCAGCTTACAGCTCACAATATTTGCATGGTTAAAATAAAAAGGTTCAAGCCGGGTGTGGTGGCACATGCCTTTAATCCAGCGCTTGGGAGGCAGAGGCAGCCGGGTCTCTGTGAGTTCAAGGTCAGCTTGGTCCACATAGCAGTTCCAGGACAGCTGGGACTACAGGGAGACCCTGTCTCAAAAAGACAAAGAACAAATACATAAATAAACAATAAATAAATAAATAAATAATAAAATAAAAAGATTCCATTCGTGAGTGAATGACGTGTGTGTATGAATGAGCATGTTCATGTGTGAGTGCGGCAGGTCAGAGAATATCTTTGGGTGTCAGTCCCCACAGCCTAACTTGTTTGGGGCTGGTCTCTTGTTGAACACTGCTGCATTTTCCAGGCGATCTGGCTGCCAGCCTCAGTGCAGTCTCCTGTTTCTGACTTCCATCTTACTGTATGAGTACTGTTGTTACAGATGTGAGATACTGTACCTGACTTTACAAGAATTCTGGGTATCCTACATTAGGCCCCCATGTTTCTGTGGCAAATGCTTTACCCCTAGCTCTCAGAATTTTAATATTAATGTCACGAATTGTGACAGAGTATATTAGAAAAAGGGAGATAAAAAAGGAAATTGAAAATAAAAAGATGGGGAAAGATGTATAAGTCGACCAAACTATCTTCTGAAATAGAGAATAGAAGTAATGTATAATTAATATCAACACATACTAAAATAAGCACGTATTTGAAATTATTGAAATTAACACCAGGTATAGTGCCACAGGCCTTTAATTCCAGCCTTTGGGAGGCAGAGGCAGGAGGATCTCTGTAAGACTGAGGCTAGCCTGGCCTACAATGGTGAGTTCCAGGCAGGTTGGCACTAAGAAGACACTGTCGAAAAATAAACATACAAATAACGCCCCCTCCAAAATTGAAATGAATACTCATAGACAAGAACAAAAAAATTGCGGATATATAAAAAGATGAGGAGTGTGTGTGTGTGTGTGTATACATATGTGTGTACATATATGTGTGTAGATGGTTGGGTGTGTATGCACACACACAGAGACATACAAATGTACATGTCGGGTAGTGGTGAAGAAACTGCAAATCATGGTTTGTAATTCTTGTCATACATATTAGAATTTTGCTTAAAATCATTTTTTTAACTATTATTTTGACACACATTTAAAATGATTTGGAAAAATATTGTTTAGTTTGCTATTAAAGGACAATTTTAAATATCAAAATTTAATTATGTACTTCAACTCAAGTTTGTCTAAGAATAGTTAGCATCTTTAGGATTTATGCGTTAATACGTTACAAGGTGGAGTTATGAGGATGTCTTTTATGATGGTTTCTAGAGTGTGCTGCAGATTAGTGTCATTTTAGACCAGTCAAAAAATAGAGAAATTCTCTTTCAGCAATGTAGATGACTCGTGAATAGAAAAACCCCAAAACAATCATTACTTTCTTTGTTCTTCATGCGATTTATCAGTGAATGATGTTTCTTGAACAACGAAATATCACATCACCAGTTACTTTTTCTATAGAACATTTCTTTTTCACATTTATTTACTTACTTACTTACTTAATTATTTATTTATTTTGAGACAGAGTCTCTCTGTAGCCCCAGATGGCTTGAATCTCTCTATGAGGACCAGACTGGCCTTATTCTCATTGTGATCCACCTGCCTCTACCTCCTGAGTGCTGGGATTATGTGAGCTATCATGCCTGACTCAAGAACATTTCTTAAAATAAAACTTGAATTCTATAGCTATGGAAGGATGATAGTAGTCAGAAAGTTAAAGGAGAAAATGCTGCTTCATAAAAATAAACCTGAGCAGGTAGAATGAGCAATGTACTCAGCTTTACAAAACATTAGCTCAGAAATAATAATGTGTAATAATGATGAAATAAAAGGAAGTTCATTTTTTAAGGTTCTGGATGTAAGAGACTCCAAATGAAACAAAGGAGGTTCTGCCATATATGTTCCCAGGTTCCACTGTTTACCTTATTCTCAAAGAATGAGTCATGGCACAGCCAAGATCTCTCACATGGGAGTGTTGGATGGACCAACAGCCCCTAGATCATTTTTTCTTCTGACTTTGTATGTTTTACTATCAATAATGTAATTTTCGTTCTCCCTCAACATGGTATTGTATATAAAACCTCTCAGGTCAGTTTACACCATCATCAGATAACTGTTTCTCAGCTCCCTAATTCAATTCTTCTACAGGAACTGCCTCTAGACAAATTCAATCTCCTTGGTTGATAGCTATTTTCCAAAGTAATTTAGAAGTTGTCCTATAATTCTTGACATATTTAGGGGTCCCCTACAGTTCTTATAATGTCTTTAGGGAAAATAGGGTAAATATTTCATAATACAGATACATTACTGATATATCTAATTGCTTCAGTAATGACATTAAACCCTTTCAATTGCCTTCTGAAGGCAGTCTATACTGCTGTAATGCAGCGTTTTTCTACTGCAAGGCTTGTGGTAGTTACAAAAAATAGTAATGAGTGCTTCTTTAAATAGAAGAGTTATATTGTGGACTTTCAATGCTAATGTTCAGTGACCACTAATTTCATATCTTACCAGGAAAAACTGTATTTTATTCATTAGAGTGTGGAGGACATTTGAAGAATCTTAGAGATGACTGCATACAATTTATGGGCAAGCTGATACTTGCGTGGACTAGGTGGAAAAAATGCACATGCATACATTGAACGGTGTTATTTCTACTTATTCAATTTCTTTAATTATAGGAATTTTCCAGACTTTGTCATTTAGGACTTCAAGTAGCTGAGTATTATCAGAAAGTACTCAGTCCTCAGACTGATTGAAAAGAGAGTCCTGCACTCTGAGGCATATTTAAAAAGCACAACCTGGGCTCAGAGGTCATTGTTGAAGAAAGGATGGAAAGATAGTAAGAGCCAGAAGTAGTAGATGAATACCTCAAAATATGTTTGCCATACACAACAATATGATAGGTGTACATATGAACTCAAAGCAGTTGTGACAGCATGCACAAGATACCTGCAAGATCAAGTAAGATAAATTCCTAGCATGGAGGTGGAAGGTGCTCACAAATACCCATTCTTAGCTAAGAAGCTATTGGCAATTAACAGCTATGGAGAGGGAATGCCAGTTTGTGGTTCATGGCAAGTTCTCCATACTCCAGTGGATGGCGCCATACCCAGGGGTACATGAACAAAACAAACTGGACCCAATGATCTAATAAAACATGAAGAGGGCATGAAGCTGAGGGATAGGGAGGTAGGAATGGATCTGAAGGAGTTAGGGGAAAGTGTGGAGTGAATATGATCAAAATACAGTGAATGATATTCTCAAAGAATGAAAAAAGATGTTAAGAAATGAAAAGTAGACACAAGCAAGAAATGTAATAAAATAGGCAGACTATATAAAAGAAATTTAGCTTATTTTTTTAAAGAACAGCCTCCCGTCCCACCATGGGATAATGTCTCCGAAGCTGCAGAAGAAGATGCTGTCAGGACATATGCAAGACTTCTAAAGCAAGCTTGGCCATGTCTTGAAGTAACGATTGTAAGTAGATAACTTTTTGTTGCTGGGATTACAGGTGTGTAAACCATGCCCAATTTGTTCAGTGTTGGAGATCACACCCAGGGCTCCATGAGTATCAGACACACACACTATCAACTGAATCCCAACCCTAACTCAAAGCAGCCACCTGCCTCTGCCTCCTGAGTGCTGGGATTAAAGGTGTGTGCCACCACATCCAGCAAGAAAATATATATAAAATTAAATATTCTTGTATACTAAAAAATCATGTAATAGCTATAGCAGTGAAAATATCTATTGAGATATATTCATATACCCATATAAATATGTATACATATGTGTACATATCTACATCTATATGCATCTCATACCTCATAAATGCATCAAAATGCAAAGGATGATAAATTTTGGATTATTTCAAATCGACAGAAATAGTATTTTTTTAACCTTTTGATGAAAGGCAAAATCCTAAATACGTGAATAAAGTAGATGAATTGTTTTAACTTTTTATTGACACTAAAGATTTCATGAAACAAAAAAGACAATCATAATCAATATTGATCATCCCAATTAGTGAGTAATTGTTCGTACAGAGCCCATTTATTGGTGTTAGGAGAACCGTAGCTGCTTATCTTTTGTGGCAGATACTATGGTCAACTTGACAGAACCTAAAATACCTATGAGGAAAACTTTGAGCATTCCTATAAAGGAGCTTCCAGACTGGGCTATTTGATGTGGGGCGATCCTCCCTAAATTGGGACATCTTCATGGGCCGGGGTCCTGGACTGAATAAAAAGAGAATGAACTAAGCACGAGCTTTCTGTCTCTCCACTTCCTGACAGTGGATGGATTATGACCAGCTGCCTTATGCTCCTGTCTCCATGGCTTCCTTGCCACAATATCCTCAAATTGTTCATTCTTTCAGTTGATTCCTGTCAGGTATTTGGTCATAGAAACAAGAGTAACTAATACACAATTTAAAAGAAAATTACCAAAGACAGTCAGCTCTGCAGGGTCGCTGTCTCTTTCTCCCACCATATTGGTGCCAACACAGGTATACATTCCTGCATCACTTTTCCTGGTATTGGAGATCATCAGTTTTCCACCACGGATCTATGAAAATTAGACCAAAGGGAAATAAGCAAAGGATAAAGTCCAGAAATTAATAATTTTGAATACACGAGCAAAACTTTTTGTCCTCAAGAAAGTATCTGTACACAAGATGTGAAACATCCCCACTATTTTGATGTGTGCTTGTGTGATTTCTTTCCTAACATGGCATCAATAGACGTTTCTAATCTCTTTTTAGGGAACACTTCCTTAACGCTGCCCTCATCTTTCTTGAATGGTCAATTTTTGAATCTCGTGATTGTCCCCACTCAATCACAGAAGCTTGTTATCACACTGAGATTCTGCAGAAAGAATTGTTCCTGTCTCTTGTCATCAGAAAGCAGCATTGGAAATCTTCGGATGATGCAATAAAACATAGCTGGAATAGAGTAAAAATTTATGCCTTTGTGCAGCTTATATTTAAACTGTTAGTGTTAATCATCTTTATTTTTGCATGTGTATGTGGGGTGTGTGTGCATGCACTTGTGTGTGTGTGTGTGTGTGTATGTGTGTGTGCTCACATATGTGGGGTGCAGTTGCATGGGCATGTTTGTATGCGCATGGACGCCAAAGGGTGGCATCACTCATTTTTCTCAATTGCTCTCCATCAAAAAATCAGCAAAGTCTCTCAATTTTACTTGAGGCTAAATATTTCTGCAGCTATCTACGCAGCTTGTTATGGATCCTTTGTCTCTGTCTCTCTTGCACTTGGATTACAGCAGGCTACCACTTCATGCCAGCGTTCCTGAGGGTGCTGAAAATTTAAACTCAGGCCCTCTTGCTTCAGGGGCCAGTCCTTTACCAACTCAGCTATCTTTCTAACCCCATTAGTCATCTTGACTCATTCTGGTAGCATTTACAAAATGATTTTTGGTAAGGAGGGAAAGTTAGAAGAAAACTCAATTGAACATTAGAACTTTAAAAGGGAATAAGCATTGCTTAGCATCCCCAGGAAAAGAAGTTTCATAACTGATGGAAAATTTATTTGTTAATGATATTATGTCTCATAATTATTTTTTAAAAAGAAAATGAGAATGTAAAAGATGTTAAAATGATATGGGAATGGAGATAATTTCCAAAATAGAAAAAAATGAGAAAGCCTAAGCAAGTGATGATGGTTTGTTTAGGTTTGTTATATGAAAAGCCTAAGCAAGTGATGAAGGTCTTCTGTTTGGGTTTGTTATATATAAAGGATGAGCCAAAAATAATATACACATAATCTTAAAATTTCTATGGTCATACTTTAGTCAACTAGATTAAGGAACAAAATATAAATCTAGTCAATGTTTATCTGAGAATATTTGATTATTTACCTAAGCCTTATCTACATAGCACATGATAATTAAAAGTATCAGACTGGTGGAACTAACCTTACTGGATGTTTAACAGACATACTTTAAGGCCTATATTAATATGGTCAGAAGGACTTAAAGTACAGGTTTTGCCCTTGTCCTCTAAGGTTGACCAAGTTCCAGGGGACTATGGAACATCTCTCAAAATGCCCAGCAAATGTGGTGAGTCACCTGTTCTCTTGTTTAGGGAGGACATGGAGACCCCACGAGATGGACTTGAACCAGTGACCAGTCTACAAAGAGGAGGGTCAACTTAGAGGAAACATCTCATTCATGCTTCCAAGTGAAGCCAGACATGGTCGAACAGGATCTTTGACTTATCTTCACACAGATGGAACTGGTAAAAGAAACAGCTCCTCCCAAGCGCATGTGACCCCTGAGGAACAGATACTCAAATGACCTTAAGTGTAAAACTATATTGATTTGGGCCAAGTGTATGGAATTAAACACCCAAAAGAAAAGTATAACTAAAGAGTAAAGTCATCAGTATACTTCTTTAAGAACTCAAGGGATTACACTTCCCTTATTATTTAGTCCATGTGTGGTGGCACACACCTTTAATCACAGCACTTGGGAGGCAGAGGCAGGTGGATCCCTGTGAGTTCAAGGCCAGCCTGGTCTACATAGTAAGTTCCAGGACAGCTGGAGCTATAGGGAGACCCTGTCTCAGAAAGACCAAAAAAAAATTGTTTACACAACTATTTCTCATTGATGGTTTTGTTCCTAACCAGAAGATGCTGCTCAGATGTAAGACTTCAAATCCTGGTCTCCAATACTGTAGTGCCCAGTAGCTAAGGGAGACAAAGAATTGTTGTTCTAAAATGGTAGATAAATTTGTTTTCTCCCCCTACCTAGAAGCCTTTGAGAGGGAATTGACACTGATTCTAACTACTCCAACAGCTATCAAAATACCTGAAAGCAAGTCCCAAATCTGTCACTCTAGAGTCCAGCCTTGGGAGACAAGAAAAAAATGAGGAAGAACCCAATAGAGGGATGCTTTTGGAAGCCCTTGTGAAGAAATTCGAATGACTCTCATATGAACATTTGAAAATTGCCCTGTTCTGACTTTTTTCTAGTTCCCTGGCTAGAACTTGTAATGCTAATTACTCTTGCCTTTACTTCTTCACATCTTCTATTCACAATTCAAGGACTTTCTTTTCCTCTTAGAGATAAGAGTTATGCAGTTTGGGAGTCTTTTAGATAGACCCACTAAAGAGGTACTCCAATTGTCTCACCCTGCATCCCTGTTCAGCATGGAAGATGCCAGAGCAGTCTGGGTCCCTATTTGGGTAACCTCTTCAGAGGATGGTGTGATAAGAATAGGAGATAGAAATTGGCTAGGCAGTTAGGGTAAAAAGACCCCCAGGAAAAGTAGCCAGTTTCTTGGCTTTAATAAAAGTCAAAATGTCCTTGCACCTCTTAAAGGCAACATACTCTTTTCCAGAGTCAAAAAAGGTCAAAAGTATTTGGGAGCTTGTATCTAATCCTTATAAGATTTTAGGGTTACCCCTTCAGAGGGGAGAATGTTAGAGTACCCAAAGCCCTATAAAAATAAATAAATGAAAGAAGAAAAAAAAGAAAAGAAAAAAGTTATGGGGAGATATGGGAGGTGTTGGAAGGGAGAGAGTGGGCATGGATTTGATCAAAACACCTTATATACATGTATGAAATTCTCAATATTGTTTTTGTAAAAGTTAAAAAAATTTATAAAATAATGGTTATAAATTAAAGGAAATCATTGATGTTTAACATGTATCCCTAAATATTTCTTAAATGAGAAGCATTTACAGATATAACTAACAAACACAATGTATTAAAATATCTTTTCACTAAAGAAAACATCAAATCAGATTTTTAAGTAAATGTATTATACTCAGAAAAGTTTCCCAGGTGCTACCCCCAACTTTTGTATTAATCTAATTCAGCTATCTTAACTTTGAAATGACGGAATGTGCTTAAAGAGAGATTGGATATTCCTAATATGCGGGTTTTCTCCATTATTTTTAAATTTCATACATGAAAAATGCTGATGTAGTCATGTTATCAGACAAAGTTCAATCTCTAAAGTTTGTCACCTGGTACAGGAATTTTCAACCAATTTTTAAATTAGAAAAAAAATTACCATCCATCTGTCCTCTCTTATATGCTGTGAGGTAGAATGGTGGGTTATAAAGTTTCATGACATTTTTTAGCTTGTCTTAAAGCCTAGCCTGTCAATACAGTTTGACTTTGTCCAATGAAACTAAAACAAATATTTCACTGGAAAAACAAAGTGCTTACCCATTGAGACTTGTCATCTCTAGTTGCACTTGGAACTCTGAGACCCTAGAACCTCCCTGAGGTGACTGATTGGAAAACTAGAGATGAGAAGTAGCAAGCAGCTGTCCAGCTGAGTTGGTCACATTCAGATATGTATTCTACAGCAGTCACCTGATGGCATACCTTTAAACAGTGAATAGTCCAACAGAGACCAACCATGCTAACTCCCATAGAACTATCAGGTTCTGCTGAAGAATCATGTTACAAATAAAGTGTTTTGGATAAATCACTGAATTTTGGGATGATATAATATAGAGTAAAAGTCAAAAGGTTTATTTTTTAAACACTGGTACCCAACACCAGACCACTAAAGACCAAATTCTCTTTGATATTATAACTTCATATTCACGATAAAGCCAGTAATATCTGAATATGTATGAGATCCCTTAACTAGCATATTGATTTTATGTTATGCTTTCATTTCAATGTGTGTATAGAAGAAGATCTCATTTGTGAAAAGCATATATGTACAGAGAACAGATGCACACATTTTATGAATTTGTGTTCAAACAATGCAGTTGCTCAATCAGTCAAATCAAATCAGTTATTTTTCAGTGAAACACATTCTAGGACACCATATTTTATCTTAAAATTACCAATAAATAATATAAAATGGAAATTACATTTCAGTGGACTGGTCCTCATTTTACAGGCTTTATATTCAAGCATTTGTGCAAATAAAACATGAAAAACTTACACACCATTCTCTTTCTATGTCTTTACCCATTTCTGGATATTGCATCTTAAATCTTATTAAACTGATGATTGTGATTACCTACTTCCCTTGGAAACAGAACATTTTCTTTATATGAGCTAAAACTCCAGATAACTTCTCTTCATGTTCTATTGTGTCTTTTAAATCTACTTTAAAATGAAGTCATATATAAATGCTTTCTATCACTTTTCAAAAAATGTAAACTATCATCTCAGAATATTTCCTTTTATAATGTTGAAACTAGTACAAAATGAAATGCAGTTCATATGGTTAATGCCCGTCATTCATCTGTTAATGTTCATGTGTAAAATATAAATGACCAGTAGAAACCTTAAAGAGTGGATATAAATATCCTACTGCAAAAACACATTACCTACTCAAACTGGTACAATTATTAGTATATCTTACACATTTGTTTAATATAATTGTTTTTGAAGCCCCATCCCTATTTTTTATTTTGCTTTTAAGTCATTTCAATATGATGTAATGATAAATTAACATCTAACTGCTAATTTATTAAATAAAAGACTCTGGTCATAGGCCTTCCATGTAATTGAACTCACACTTATTCTCTCCTCCTTGTCATCGATTCGGACTTTGTCTTTTTTCCAGTAGATAGTGGGTTCTGGGTGTCCCCGAGGGGGCTGGCATTCCAAGATTGCAGGCTCTCCAGCTGCCACTACCACATCTGTGGGGTTTTGCCTGAAGTCATCCCGCAACACTGAAGAAAAATAAAAGTAGTAAAAACATCCTTAATGACGATACTTCCATTTCCTCATGCCGAAAAGTAACTTCAAGTCTTACTCAACTGTTCCAATAACAAATGATGGATATTTCCATGGAACATTCCCATGTTCATTGGAAAGTATCCAAATCCAACCTAAGTACTCACTTATAGGGGAATGGCTCTTAGCAGGTTTGTTCACTCATGTTGGTTTTAAAATCCAGTTTTAAGAATGAGTCCAAAAGCAATGAAATGAGAAGTATTTGTGATACAGTTTTGAACTTTAACAACCAAGCAAGATATGGAACATTTCATAGATTGTGGTTTTATTTTCTATAAAGAGCACACATTTATGCATCTGTAACTATATTAAAATGAATGCTTAAGATAACTAAAACCTAAAGTAAGCCATACACACATGGCTTACTTACATCTTTCTTACATCTATATGTGTCACTGTATGAGGGAAATGGAGTGATCTCACTTTCTTGTGACATGAATGTGGTCACGCTCCACAAGACTTTCCACACTTCGGCGGACAGACTCATTGTTGGCTCTTGCAACGCACTAGCACCCACATACACAGGGCTGTGTTCTCATTGTCACTGCATCTCCACCTGCCGAGTGACATCTGGGCAGCGTGACAATTGGAGCAGAGATATCCCTTATAGCAGTATTGCTAGTCTGAATTGTCCCTCTTTTTATTAATAAGGAGAACAGCAGGTTGGACCTCCGCTGTCACCTACAAAATCTGGCATGCCTAGCTCTCCAAATGTCACGTATCCATCAGCTGTGTGCTTTTCTGCTGCTGACAAGATGGAAAGTGTGCAGACATGACTTGCCCTATCTGACTGTGGAAAATGTGTTTATCTGACAAGTAATGGCCATGATTATTGTAGGATAAACATTCAAAATATAGTTGATATTAATAGAATGCATGCCTCAACTGACTTCATTTTACCTAGCTACATTCACTTTCCTGTTTTTCAACACTCCAACACTGACAAGCTTTATTTCATCCCAGTTGGTTAGTTTTATTTTGGGGAGGCAGCCTCACAATTTTTAGACCATGCTGGCTTTAAACTGATACTCTTGCCTGTCAAGTTTTGGTATTCTAGGCATGCACCACCACTCTAGGCAGTAAGTTTCATATTTAAGTACTTAAAGTAAAACAAACTATCTATCATCTATCTATTTATCTATCTATCCATCCATCTATCTGTCTATCATCTATCCATCTGTCATCTATCATCTATCTTCTATCATCTATGTATCTACCTACCTACCTATCTGTCAGTCATCTGTTTATCATCTATCTATCTATCTATCTATCTATCTATCTATCTATATCATCTATTTTCTATCTATCTACAAAGTGCACACACTACTCTGTTGTATATCGTACTCACAGAGATATGTCTGTGTAAATATGTGTATGCATATATGTTTCTACACATATACATAGGTATATATTATGTATATTGTTTAGAATGACCATTAGGCAATCTGTGGCAGTCTGTTATGCAAACCTTCTACTGAAAATGTAGATTAGGTCAAGTAAACTGCCTTCCCTGTGCTATAAAACCAACCTTGGCACTCTGCTTCCTTCATTGGTATGTGGAGTCTCTTATGTTAATTCTCATTCTTCAAATAAATAAAAATCTCTATCCTGAAAACAGCCCCAGAGAGACAAGTGAGTGACTTTTAAGGTTTTTCTTTCTTGTCTCTTGCAACACATCCTTTAACACAGTTTTCCATCTTAGTGAAGTCATAGAGAAGCATGTTTCCTATTGAAGGAGCAATAAGAAAGCATTCTGTACAAATTGTTCACTCTCAGCCGAGAAGCTGATTAATTTACTGCTTTTGCTGCTGAGAAAATGTGCTCTGTGTTAGCACTGAGAGGTACACATTTTTGCTCTCTTGTCTAACTGGAAAGGCAGGTGTAATTTATATGCATAAGGACTGGATTCTGAAAGGAGGGAAGTATGCATTTAAGTGTGACATTCATGCAAGAGAAGAGAAGGGTTAACACTGTGATTCCTTCTTGTAGGTGCATCCTCCAGGGACAACTAGCTTGTGACTAATTTATATTCCAAATACAGAACAGCTGCCTATTTATGCAATGCTAAAAAGTGCAAAAATATGGTAACAGGGTGATGAACCCCTACAATATCCGGTCCTGGCAACAAATGGTGTTTTGGCAGACCTTCAATCTGTTCTAAACTGGCACATCTGGCCAGTTGAAGGCCCTTCCGCAGATCTGGTCTCCTAACAAATGATTCACCAAGGAGCCTTAGCTCAAATGGTACTAAAAACCACAGCAAATCATTCTGAGATTCAGTGTTACATGAATTTGCAATGATCTAAATTGAAAAAAAAAATGGGGCCTTTGACATGAGGAACAAAATGAAGAAAAATATCATAACAAACTGTAAGGCCGGCTACTCTTAAACAATATAACATGTGTTTATGCATTCAGAAAAAGGAAAATGACTCCAATTTGCACATGAAGCCAAGAAATCTAACATCAACTATAATTTTAGGCTTTCAGACTATTCACTCTGAGAGTAGGGTGAGATAATGGTATAATTGGCACTGTACCCTCTTCAACTTGGAATATGCTCTTTTGGGTTTGCGTGTAATGCAGCTAACTGATGTGTACCTAGTATACCATTCCATTTGCACCCAGTCCTGGGTAAAATGTGTTTCTCTCTCTCACTGACATAAATCTTAAAGTGACTGCATATCACTTCTGAGAAAGGATTCTAAAAGAATGAAATTTTCATTTTTTTCTCTCTCCCTCCATCTCTGTGTTTAACCATACTGTTTTCTTTAAATTGAAACATTCCATATTGGAGTAAGGTTCCTAAAGACTTAAAAAGCAAGCAGAACTTACAAGACACATGAAATAAATAACTCACAAGTTTAAAGAAATTCCTGCAACTTGTAAGTTTCACAAAGCCCCTCTCTGAGGTTATATAGGCAGTATTAACTTCTGGGAAGAGGAGACACTCTGGTGGCCAGTGGCCAGAAGATCTTACAGGGATTTTCAGGGACACACCTATTGTGAGTGAATGTAGTTTTCTTTGAGTCAGCCATGCTCCTGTTAAATACCACACCCAACCCTCCAAGTAAATTCATTGATTTGGTAAGATTGACTTCTGTGTCTTTTCTTTGGTGTGTTGTCAGGACGCTCTCTGGAGTGAATAGACCTTAGTTCATATCTTCCCAGGAAATGTCACCCAATTGTGTAGCTGTATCTTTCTTGTTTCATACATTCTGATTTCAAGTCAACACATTATCTAATGCAGAGGCTTGTTTAAGGCAGACCCGAGTGCAGCTTCCAAGAATTGAGATCCTCAGTCTAACAATATCTGAAGATCGAAAATGCCATCATGTTATGTGGTAATTCATAAAATCAATAGGCTACCAATATAATACACTAGCAGGTTCATGTCAGGTTATAATTTTCAACCTTTCATATTTGACTCTTCACATCTTCATGTTTCTAAGCTCTCACTCACCATCAGTTGAATCAGATCATTACTCAGACATTTCTGTCTTAAGTCATTAAAATAAATTAGCAACCACAATAAGGTAAGCCTGAAAAATAAATGAGCTTTTTATAGATGCATTTCTGAAACACAGTGCTCACAGAATCCCCAGTGAAGTCATTAGTAATGTAAAGCCTGAAAACATTATTAATAGAAGTATTCATGCATACCTGTGAATAAAACCATCCTAAACAAACTAAATTGCTCTTGAGAAAGGTAATCTAAAAAGGAATTGTAATAGTAAGCATGACTAACTGCAGTTTCTAGCCAAAGCCAACCAAGAAAACACTGAACATGGGCTCTTTACAGGTAGAACTTGACTTTATGTACACACTACAGAGGAGCTATAGGTGCTGGTGTGACAACCAGGTCCAAATTTCTCTGTAGAAAACTGAACTTAAGCCCAAGCGTATGCCTGCCTAGTACACATTTCAGTGTATTGATACAAAACTTCAGGGAATCACAACACT